CTCTTTAGATCTTTTTCACTATTTAATAAATAAAGAAATAAGCTTTATTAAAATTAAAACTGAAAACTGTCTCAATTAATATAATTTATTTACAACAATTAATAAATTTATCTTATTACTTTTCACGTAAGAAAGTATTCTTACATTTGTATTCTATCTTTCTTACAAAATCTTTTATAAATACTCTGAATTCTTGATGAATTTATTTAATTCTTGATGAATTTCTTTTATCTTTTAAAATACACTTTATTCTTAAAAGTTCTTTGTAAACTTGTTAGATTCTTTGTGAACTTGTTAGATTCTTTGTGAATCTTTTAGCACTTTAGCTAACAAATAATAATATTAGAAGATTATTTCATACTTTGCTTATTCCTCTACACTTTTTCATATGATGCAGTCACTGCTTACTATTCTAGTAAAGACCTTTATTCATAAAGGCTACTAATGGTAACAATATATTTTTTAATTCATTTTTGAATATAATCAATATTTTTTTTTAAAACTGAATATATTTTAGTATATTTTCTTTTTATTAATAAATTTAAATCAAATAATAAATATTTTTTTATGATATATTATAATATAACTTAATAATAATTAAATTACTTTTTTTTTATTTTTTTATTTTTATATTATATATTATTATATAATTAAATTTAATAAATATTATTCTCTTTTAATATTTAAATTAAAATAATCAATATATATTATATTTTTATATATTTTTATATATTTTTTGTTTTTATTTTTATTTTTGTTTCACAAATTATTAATTTTTATATTTTTACTCTAAAATTTATCTTTTTACTATTGGTTTATCTTATCTATTACTTTAATATAATTATTTTAATCTTTAATTTCATTATTTTTAACTAATTATTTTTATATTTATTTTAGTTTTTTTCATTTTTGTTATAATTATTCTTTTTATCTCTTAATTTTTTGTTAAGTTTATTTATAATCAAGTTTATATTATTATTTTCTTTCTTTATAATACTTCTTTTTACTAAAACTTTTACTTTATCTTATTTTTAATTACTAAAATTATAACTAATTTTCTTTTTATGAGTTTATATAATTTTTCACTTATTTTTAATATTTAGTTTTTTTATATTATTAATATTATTTATAATTAATGATATAAATAGTATTCTTATAAACTGAACCAAATTGAACTTTTATTTGGATTTGAGTTTGATTTGAAATTCAAATTGAACTCAAATCAGACTTTGACTTGAGTTCAAAAAATGTTTAAAGTTTAAATTGAACTCAAATTCAACTATTATATGAGTTCAAGTTTGATTTGAATTTGATTAGAAATTAATATATAATATATAAGAATTAAAAGTTCACTTAGTGATAACTAAATTATTTTTATTTTTATAATTATTAAATTTTAGTATAAATTCTATATATTTCTTTAAATAATTATTTTTATTAGTAACTATCTTATATTAAATTGTTGCTCTTGTTTCTGATTATAACTTTACTTATAATTATAGTTTATATTTATTATAACAAAATAAATATTTACTATAGAATAACTAAAGTAAATTAAAATTATAAAAATTAAAAATAATTTTTAAATCTAAATATCTTTTTGAATATTCATTTTCAATATCAACTATTTTATATCAATTTGTAACTCTAATTCTGATTCATAACTTTATATAGAAGCTTATTAAACATTTACTTAAACTCAAATCAGACTTTTGATCAAATTTGAGTCTGGTTCAAAGTTCAAATTAAATTCAAATCAGATTTTTAATTGGATTCAAATTTTTGAACTGGACTTTTAATCAGATTTAAACTAAATTAAACTTTTTTTCAAAATCTTAATTAGTAATAACAATAATATTAGTAACAACAATAATATTAGTAGCAATAATAATAGCAATAATTATTATTATAATAATCAAATTTACAAGTATAATTAGTTATAGTTTTATAATAATTAGTATTTGCATTAGTAGTATTATTTTAATTAATAGTTTCAGAATCAATTTTAGTATTTTTTCTGATTTTTAATAATAATAAAATTAAAAATTCCATTTTTTAACTTGATGAATTTGAATATGCAACAAATATTAATAATATTTCTAATATTTACAAATAATAAATTATTTTAGTTTATTTATATAAAATTATAATAAATTGATTTTAACAATAATAATTGGATAATTAATAGTTTTGTAACTGAAATTAAAATAATAATAACTTATTTATCCAGTTATTCTTAGTTTAATTTAAATAAATACTCAAATACTCTTTTGGTAACAACAATTAATTATTTATATTCAAAAGATAAATAAGTTTATTATGCAATATACTAATAATATTAGATTTTTTTTATCAAAAATAAATTTGAATAATAATTATCTAGAATATTATAAAGTTTATTATAAATAAAATATTTTATAATATAATTATTTTATTAATAATTTATTATATTTAATATTTTTAATAATTAAATTTAAATTTATTTAATTTAATTATTTATTATTTAATTAATTATATTTCTATTGAATGAATTTGAAATTACATGACTTTTATATGTGATATGTGATTTGAACATGCGATTTCTACATGTAACTTGTACATGTGATTTTACATGTAATTTATTATTATAATTCATGTACATGTAATTCTTTATAATTTGTATCATTCGCATAATGTATATATAATTTACATGATCTGCATGATCTGCATAATTCGCATAATTTCTTGTAACTTGTTTTTTGTATCGCAAACCAATTTCGGATTTATGATCAAGAATTTTTTTAATCAAATATGACCTTATAATTAGATTTACTGAGACAACAAATTGTTGAGAATGCTGGGCTTATGGCCAGAATTTTAGAACTAAACAAATCATAAAAAAGATACTAAAAATGCTAAGCTAAGACAGACAGAAAATTCTGAGCTTAAGACCAGAATCATGAAACTAGAACATGATATGGAGGAAATCAAGAAGCAGAAACAAATCATTACTAATGCACTAAGTGCAATTTACAGTTTATTCACCATTACAAGTAACTTCCCAATCATCCATCACCTATCAAGACTCACTCTGACAAGGAGAATAGCACCGATCTCATATCTCTAGAGCAAAATCTATCTTGGAGAATGTGTGATGAGTCGAAGACTCGAATTTCCAATTCTTATGATTCCACTAACAATAGATAGTAAATTCAACTGATGTATCTAGCTTTGACACAGATATGCTGGCACAAAGTGCCGAGCCCAAATCAATACAAGACGATGAGGCTGTTGGATTTGCAGCCCTGTAAAAAATAATCAGGCATTTTTAGTTCCGGAAAATTTCCGGATTAAAAACGGGACGCGATATCTCGTGATCAACAGGTTCGATACAGACAAAACATTTAGTTAGACAGCGATGCAAAATATATCAAGGGTGGTATAGTGGAACACGCATTAAAAGAGTAACTAACTCTCGAGAAACAAATTTAAAGCTGGTGATTTTTATTTTATTGTTACAAGTCTGAAAAAATTTTTCTAGTTGATATTTTCGGCAGTAGTTATATCCGCAACGAGATAATAGCGATTAGTGTTTCAAGCTGGCAACAAACACCAGCGCGACTGAGTTGACATCTTTTGTTTCGGCTAGCCGGCTCAAGTGATAATCATGTAAATTCCTTATTTAGAATGTATTTTATTATTATTTATTTGTAAAAATAGATAAGATTGTGGTATTTGGGAAGAGCGAGTTCATTATTTTGTTGCCATGTTTCCGTAAGAGTGATATATTAGTTGGTTGTCGTATCAATCGTGCTGTTTCGCCATCATAATTAATAAAGGCAGTTTTAGATTCATTAGAAAAAATGTGAAAAGAAGCGATAAGATAGTTTTCAGTTTTAATTTTAATAAAGCTTATTCTTTATTTATTAAATAGTAAAAAAATCTAAAGAACTATAATACAAAATAGAGATATTTAAATATATAATTAATAAATAAATTACAAATAAATTAATAATAAAATAGAGAGTGATTGGTTCTAAATTATTAAGCTTAAAGATAACACATCTCCAAGTTATGCTATACTTAATTAAATATATATGAATATAAATAATAATAAAAAGTAATTAATACAAATTTAAAAATAATAAATAAAAAAAATAAAAAGAAAAGTAATTAAAAATAAAGTATATCTAAATTAATAATATGATTTATATTTTATATCTAATCTATTTAGCAAAATATTAAGAAGTATTAAATATAGATTTGTATCAATTTTTTATATATTATTCAAAAAATGATAAATATAACATGAAAAATGATGAATATAATACAAGAAATTATAAGCATATATGAAAATTATTACAAAATCTTTCTCTAAATTCTTTATAATTTTAGTATTTTTAAGTGATACTAAATAATAGAAAGTTAATTTTGCTTTTATAATAATTATAAAAATAATAATTTAACACTCAAAAAAATAAATTCACTTACTAATCTAATATATTTATTCTTATTATAATATATAATATCTAAAATTATTAAAAATTTATATTTTATAAAATATATTATTATAGTAATAATAATAATTTTGCAAATTTAAGAAAAATTACAACTTTTAAAAATAGTTATAAAAAAAAAATTCTCTAAAATAGTAAAATATAAAAATTAACAAAAATAATTTATTAAATATTATATTTTATTATTTATTTTATTATTTATTACTTTCTATTTTTATTTTATTATTTATTACTTTTTATTATTTATTTTATTATTTATTACTTTTCATTATTTAATTATTTATTATTTTTTAATTATCTTTTTATTATTTTTATTATATTGTATTATTAATTAAATAATTATTATACTTGAAAATATATTTTTGAAAAATATATAAATAGAAATACTATCTGAGTCTTAATTTAACATATTGTAAATGAAAAATAAAATTCTCTTTTAACAAAAATCTTTTTTTCAAATAATATTTATATCTTTTATTTTTAATTATATATATATCAAAGTTTGTATATAAGTAGTTTTAAATTATATTGTGTCAAATAAAATACTATTATTGAATTTATAAGCTTTATATTGTATTATACTAAACAAAATATTATTATTAAATTTATTGATTTTGATTGAGTATTTTAATTTTTGTTATTTTAATATTTTGCTATTTTCTATTTGTAAAAAAACAAAATAAAAGAGTTTTATTATTATTATTACTAATTATATTGTTTTAGCTCTGGAAAGCTTTATACAAATACAAAAAATTAGCATTTCAAATCTTTTTTATTATTTATTTTCTTATTATTTTATATTTCTTTTTTTTATTTTTACTTTTTTATTACTTTTTTATATTACTATTATATTTTTGAATTATTATAATTTTTATAAAAATTGGTATAAAACTTAAATATTTTATTATTTAATGCTTTTTTCCAATTTAGTTCCAAGTTTGTAAGTTAATTTAACAATTAGTAAACAAACTTGTAATATTTTGATATTTTATTATAAATTTCTCCCAGAATTTAAACTCTCTTTATGAATGATTACTATACTTTTATTGATAAATATTTTAATACTTATCTAGAAAGTTAATGCTAAAAAATATTACTTGAAATAAATCAACAATACTTTTACTATATTTTTTGATACAATAACTGAACTCTTAGCTAATTTTCTTGTCTAAATTCAAGAATAAAATACAATTGGTGCATAAAAACTTTAATAAATTGAGAATATACAAGGTGTAATTAGCTTACCAAAGATACTCTTCTTAATGGAAGTCTTACAAAAAGAAGTCTTGTGAGAGTTAGCATAATGTTAAAGAGTTTGGCTTGTATAATATTTGAAAGTGATGTCTGTTTAATGGATAATTAGTTCAGATCAATATTATAGAAGACACGAAAATATGAAAATTCAAGTCACAGTTCTGTATACATGTACAGTCCTCCAGAAAAGTAATAGCCAACAGTTTTTTTATCATAATATTTTTTTATATAATAATATAATTTAAAATTTTATTTTTATAATATATAAGTAAGACTTTATATTCTAGAAATATTAATATTTAATATAAATTTTTTAATATTAATGTAATAATCTATTTATTAAAAATTTCCAAAGAAGATTAATTTTTTTACTTTTTTTTAAATATTTTAGTATTTATGCTGATTTTTTGGAATTAGCTAGATATAGATTGGGAAACAACTTTTTTTAGTGGACAAAACTGATTTAATAATGTAGTTTTCGAATTATTGAACTTTCTTTAGTGGCAACCCCTAACCGAACCGTTTGTAAAAAACCTTTAATATCTCGAAAACTTTATTAAGAAACTGGTTTTAGAGTATTATAAAAGTGTTTAGCAGATCGATTTACAGTTACCATAAAAATTTCAGAGGAGTAACCATTTTCTGTGAGTTTAATGTTAATTTAAACGTCAATCGGCCATTACTTTCTGGGAGACTGTATATCATATACAGTCGGGGTTTAAAGTTTAATATATGAAAGTTTAATAATATAAATTATTATTTGATGTACGTATTGCTGAAAATAATTTACGAATGGGTGAAACCCGTGTTTTTTTGATGCAGATCAATATTTTTATTATCATTATCGTTATACAGTAATTAATAAAGCCAGAGACAAATGGTTATATTTAATTTATCACATGTATAGTCTTAACGTTAACCAAAAAATCAAATCAATGAAATAAATAAAATAAATTTTTTTGAGTGAAATTCATTGTTTTTTCATACCATTACCATTGGGATTCCTAGAATCCGCATTTTGAGTGCTCAAAGGAAATTTGACATGCCAAAAAAAAAACAGAATTGGATAAAAGGTGATCATCCAGAACGAAACTTATACAAGCAACCTTGCAAATTATCTACCCTTTTCACTTTCTATCTTTCTGTCTCTTCTAATACCTTTTGGTTTTCATGCAGTTGCTGTGGATTTATCCAAGACAATTTGGATTGGAGCAAGATGTTTAAGTGTAGTGAGTGCGAAGTAGTAATGTATGGAGATTTTAATGGTGCCCGTGGGATTTTCTCTGGGTTTGCTTGATGTGATGTTTGTATGCAGTGAATTCGCTGTATGCATGCACTACGTAATTGATTGTTTTTACGTAGTACAGTCAGGGCTCAACTATTTCAAGATAACGCTAAAATGCTAACGCTAAATTAAGAGAATACTAATAGACATCGCCAAATTTCTATATAGTGATCTGGGAACAAGAGTCACTAACTCACGATTTCATTAAATCGCAGTCGTTAAATTGAGTCTTGATTGTAGTTGACTATTTCTGTATACGTATTAATAATAAATTCAATTCATTCGAGGTAAAGTTATACGATTCTTGACTGTATTTAACGAAATATGTTAATGTTAAATAAATTTAGCATATATTACCATGATCGTATGTATGGGTCCTTAAACTACCCTGGAGGGACATAACTATAATATAAACTAGTTTCGTTTATGTCCCTAACCTAGTTTCGGTTATCTCCCTAAGTCATTAGTTTCGGGACCCATCTTTAATCGTATGATAACAGAAAATCTACGCTTTCAAAATCGTCTATCGCTATTAATTAAATATTCGCTAAACTAACAGTAACCCTAAGCACGTTTCTTTAGCTTATACCAAAGCCCGACAAGCAAAAGTATAATGAAAAGAAACGCAAAAACACCAATAATCACAGCTTTACCAGTACTAACTACAGGCAATGACGATTCATCTGTCCCGGTTGCATCGCCATTATTAATATCATATCCATCTAGCAGTGGGAGATTATAATCGCCATCCATAATATTTTGTACAATGTTCAGTTGGGTGCTCCATTGGATGGTTGTCATATTGAATATTAGGAATGGAGCATCGTTTGAAGATGTGATTCCGCCGTAAATCTTTTTTGGGATTGAATATTAGTTATTTTAATTGCTTTTCTAACAATGATTTAGTTAAATAACAAGTTTCACTTACTATTAATGCATCTGAACGAGAAAATTGAGTATATGCAGCTCCCTGTCTTTTATACAATGGAGAAATTTTAATTGGCACCTGATTATTATTACTTAAATCCAACGAAGATATCGAGATCTGATCATCGTCGCGAAGATCCAATCCGACTATATATAATAGATGATTTAATACGCCCACTGCTGCATCGACAATTTTTGTAGGCAATTTCTTTGAAAATTTAAGTAATCCGTGTTTTTCATTGTATACTGAAATATCGTCTGTTGGTAGATTATTCGTCTTTTCAAAGTCTAATGAGCCGCCAAACATCCATGCGTTACCTTTTGAACTGGCTATTCCTGCACTATTTGTGAGTGAGAATGTACTCTGGAACAAAAAAAACAAAAATTTTATGACTAACTATTTCCGGGTCACAGAATATTTGGAATTTCCGAAAATACAGTACGTAGCTTACATTATACCCAATTGCACTCCAAACCCATGGCGTTGTAGTCATATTAAGTGTCCAAAGAAGTGTAGATTCTACAACATCCTTAAATGCTCCGCCATAAATCAATACTACTTTTGGTGAAATAAGTGTGGCTCGTGGACGATATAATGATTGACGTAACTCCACTGGAAAATTCATAGTTGTCACTTGCTCGTTCCAAACTCCTTTCTGAATATTATATGTCTGAAATCCGGAATGATTTGTGTTTGATTCTGCTTTATTCATTCCACCAATCACCAACAAATATCCAAGAGACGGAACTGAAAGACAAGCGGCGTCATATACATTGATAGCATTCGTAGAATCAACAATTTGCCAGGGCACATTTGAAGTATCAAATGGCACTGAGGCTGAATAGAAAATAGAATTTGTGGCTATTGGTTCATTGTTTTCATCAATCTCTGTGCCGCCAAAAAGGTAAAGTGTGGTATTATATGTTGCAAGACAGTGTGAGCGTCTTTGCCCTGGTGAAATTGATTCTACTGGGCGGCATCCGTTTGTTAAGAAAAAGAACCAAAGATATAATATCAGTGAAAAATTTTTACTAATATATAAATGCATTTTAAAATATCAAGTGAAAATGTGAAAGACAATCTTGAGTTCTTCAAACTTAAAAACAGTTTTTTTTTATAAATTCGAATCCATAATCCCGTTACCAATCTCAACCCCTTGCATGAATCCATATTATACGTGTGTTTCTTTTTTTATTATTGTTGCTCTCCATAATGGCATTACTAGTGAATCGTGGTACCACATAGCATATAATAATTAATTTAGTGAGTCAAGAAGAAACCTTACAAATATGGATATAAGACAAAGGACAAAGACGATATTTTAAGTTTCATTTTCTTTTTATTGTTTTCGCGCTATGTATGTATTACAAATAAAATGCAGTGAAATTTGAAATACGTACACAATTTTTCTATTTGATCTATTAAATAAAAACTAAAATTACAATTTATCGTTATAATACAAATCAACAACCTCATTATCTACTCGATCAACGTGCACATTTTTTATTTTCTCCCGGTAATTTTTAGGCTGCTTTCTAACCTGGTTATCTACATGTACCGGTATTACTTTTATTGACGACAATGAGGCCGATGATGACGATAATGAAGAACCTTGCGGATACAACGATGCAATAGTAGCTTCCAATTGGATAGCATGTTGTTTTTTCCATCTGTTTATCTGCCAAACTCCCACAATTATAAATCCTATGCATGTACATCCAATAGCAATTGATGCACTCACAATTCCAATTAACGCACCAGAGGAAAGCGGTGATGATACATTATTTGTACTTGAACTTACGCTTGCGCTATTGTTATTGTTATTGCTAATCGGCAAATTAAGATCATACCCATTTACTGTTGGCATTTTGTATTGATTAATGGCAATGTTAGTCACGACGTTTACTTTGTTTGTCCAGGCACCATTTGTCATGTTATAAGCTAGCATTGAATCGAGCGGTTGTGTATTTGGCCAGGCCGGAATTCCTCCATATATCTAATGACAATTACAAAATTAATATTCCTCTTTATTTAATCCTAACAAAACAATAAAAAAAAAATTTTACCAAAATTGTGTCCGATCCAGGAAACTGAACAGCAGCAGCACGATCTCTCATATACGGCTGACCCGACGACACATAGTCTCCACTTTTCATAGTTTCCAAATCGACTGGCACCATAATCATTGATTGATTTGCTAGTTGTCGGCCATCATTCATTACGAGAACCTTCAATTTACTATTTAAGATACCAACTACACCATCCGAAATATTCAAGGTAAATTGATAAGGTGCTGTCAAAAGTCCATAGTTAAGACTAAAAATGTATGTGTAACCAGTGGGTGGCCAATTTTCTTTAGAGACTTTATTTATCCCGCCAAATATAAATGCATTTCCTTTCGAAATGGCGATCCCGGCACCATTGGTTGGTTTCATTTTAGTCTATAGAAAATCGATGACGGTTATTAATTAAGGAAAAAAAATTTATTAACACGATATTTATTGTTAGAGAACCTACATCATGAGAAATGGTGGTCCAGTTCCATAAAGCTTTCGATAAATCAATCTGATAAATCCCCGTAGAAGAATTCTGATCGTGATTAAATGTTCCAGCCCAAATAAACACAGTTTTTGGAGCAATTAATGCAGCTCGCGGACGATAAAGATAATATGAGAACTCTGAAGGAATATTTTGTAAATATTTCGGGTCATTCCACGTATTTTTGTTGAAATCGTATACTTGTAATCCTGGGTTTCCATCATTTACATTATTAGCAAAATTTCCACCTCCAATTATTAATAGTAAGCCTAATGTTGGCTCAACTATACACGCTGTGTCATTTACATTTTTAGCGTTGATGGTAGTTTCTTTTCGCCAGGGCATTGAATTTGTGTTTTCAAATGGTAAATCGGCGGAGAAAAAGAAGTCCTTGGTGGTCGCTGTTGTTGCTCCGCCAAATAGATAAAGTGTATTTTTGTATGTGGCGAGACAGTGTGAATATCTTGGACCAGGGGATTGACTCGATGTTAGTGTTAAAAGTGTGAGAAGAAAAAAAGTAAATGTGAAGAAAAAGGTCGAGCTTATTTTCCGTTCCATTTTACAATATAGAATAAGAAAAAGGGAAAAGGGAAAAGAAGGAAAGAAATGAACACAAAGGAAGGAATAATCCAGAATAAGAGAATTCAACACTAAAAATAGTAAAGTGGAAAATAGATTTAATAATTATTTCACGTTTTCATTTAAGTACTCAACAGAAGATTCTTTGCAAAAATCACCTTTAAAAACAATGTTGAGCTAGTCTCTTACTCTGTACAAGCTGAATGAATTGGACACACCGTTATGATTTTCAGGTTTGAAGAAAAAAGCAATAAAGGGCGAGTCCTCTTTTTCTTCTTTTCAAAAAAGCTGCAATGTATATCATATTTTTCGTCACATTTTTCGTTCCATTGTATTAATACATGTAACGGTAACAAGTTTTATTAATTATTTACCAATAATTAATGCGTAGCGGTAGTGATATTAAACATTGACATGACGAACAAAGATGCTTATGTTGTGTCTTTCTTGTGTGCATGAATCTACACTCTTTGAAATTTGTTTTTTAACACAAAAAAATTACTGCACAGACACAAGAATGAATTTCTTTATGTTCTCGCGTAACGTAACGTAACGGTAACTCTAAAAATAGTAACGATAGATGTAAAGACATTGCATAATAACGATAATAAATTTTTAATTAGGAAATTTAGTTATGATGGATTAGGCCTTCCTGATCATTTACTTCCTTTAAAAACATACAATTTATTTTGATTATATGCCATATCAATATCAAGGAACATTTTAATAAATACAAAATTTTTACAGTCTAACCCCTCTATAGTCATCCCATATATCGTCACAAACTCTATATAGTCACATTTTTCAGTCACAACTCCTTATAATTACAGTTTTTCATATCCCCGAGGGTGTGACTATATAGAGGTTCGACTGAATAACGATCGCTATCGGTATGTAGCATTCTAAATCCAGTACGAGGATCTGAAATTACTGTAATTTAAATATGCTGTGTAGCATTCTATCAAGTGACATTGTTATGGAAACATTGGAAGCCAATACTAATGAAAATATGCAAATAAAAACGCAACAAAAATTATGAACTTGCCCTGCAAAATTATCGAATTTCAAATTCGGTGATACTGTAACGCAACTTCTAATTGAAACTTGTATCAGAATTGAAAAATTTATTCAATTAAATTTTGTAAGTACATGTATCAGTATTTTTCTGAGATTACATTTTTCTTTTCATTATGTTGAGAACAATAAATTTAAATCATGTGACTTGAAAAAAGATTCGTGAAGAAACTCTTTAAAATAGAATCACAAGTATGATAATATAGATTGTAGAATAACTTTACTTGAATGCTTTCAACGAAATCTAACATAAATTCAATACTAAAAGCAAGTTCAGAATGAGAGCTTTTTTTTAATTACTTTTAGATTAGAAAAAAAATATTAACTGTACAGTAATAATCAAAAGTAATGCAACAAAAAATGAAAATTCTATATATCTTAATAAATTCATAATAAAATTTAAAAGAAAACTATATATATATATATATATTAATAGTAATAGTTATATTTTTTAAGTCTAGTTAATTGATTTTATTTTTGATTGCAAGATAATTATCTGATTTGCATGAAACACATGTTGCATTTCTTTTGATCATTTTTAACAAGTAATTAGATGATGATTGCTATTATATAAAATCACAAAATATATATAATTAAGTTATTTGTTTATTATTTTATTCCTATATTATATTGCAAATATTTATAAACGAAAAAATGGTAAAATATTATATGACTCTAAAAGAAAGAGCTGAAATTCTAGTTTCTCTTAAAATAGATTTACAACAAGAAAAATAGTAAGAGCCTGGAACATCAGTACTTTTATCATTTCTTATATTAATAAAAAATAGTGTAAATTATATATTTTAAATAATATAAACAAATCTGATCACACACAATTATTAAATAATCAGTTAGAAAAAATAATAGTTTGTTTTATTACTTCTTGTAACTGTTCTAAAAAAATAATTTAGTAACAAGAATAAAACAAAAAAAATTATATCTAAAATCTAAATACCAACTTTGTTATCTTGAATTTACCAAAAAATACTAAAATTAAATTCATGAAAATTAATCAAAAATTGTCTGATTTGATAAATTTAAGTTTTAAGTTTTTGATTCTAATAGAAAATAATATTATTAAAAAAGAGCAAATAAATTATTAAAAGTTATTATATTAAATTTATAATAAAATTCAATAATAAAAAAATAATAGTATGAAGTTGTTTTATCTTTCATAATATTAACAACTTTATAAGATTAATAAAAATATAAATAGTATTATATTTATTTTCAATAATTTTTTTAATTAATAAATTTTTTAAAAATAATAGAAAACATGAAAATTTCTCTAAAAATAGTAACAAAATAACAAATCAATAAAAATAATTTATATATATTAGTTATTTAATAATCATATAATTATTATTTATCATTTTTCATTTTTATAATTATTAATTTAAAATATCTTTTTTTATCTTTTCTATCTTTTCTATCTTTTTTATCTTTTTTATCTTTTTTATCTTTTTTATTTTTTCTATTTTTTCTATCTTTTTTATTTTTTCTATCTTTTCTACTTTTTCTATTTTTTTATTTTTTTTATTTTTTCTATTTTTTCTACTTATCTTTTTTATCTTTTTCTATAATAATTTGTATTATAAATAATATTAAAAATTTTATATATAGTAGCATTTATAAGTATTTGAATATCCCTAATTTTTTATAGATTATACATATTATCCTAAAAATTTCTGAAAACAAAAAATAATACAAATACTATTCATTTAAATTTTTTAAAATTAATATAATTTTTACATTAGAGATATTTTATATTTATAAACTTTCACATTTTAAATATAATGAAATGATCATCTTAGGATATAAGATTTTGATGTTTAGTGATCAAATTTGAGTGAAAATACTATTATTTGACTCATTTAGTTGAGATGAATTAAATGATAATATTTGTATTCAAATTTGATTACTGAATATCAAGATATTATATTCTAAAAGAACTATTTCATTTTTTAATGATTAATTTTCTTTTGAAATTGATTATCAAAAAATAAAATAGTTTCTTTAGAATATAATATTTCAATACCTAGTAATCAAATTTGAATACAAATACTATCATTCAATTTATTTGGACTAAATAAGTCAAATAATAGTATTTTCACTCAAATCTAATCACTAAATATCAAGATCTTATGTCATAAAGTGATTATTTTATTTTTGTTAACATTAAAAAAATGAATTTAATATAATATTTCAATATTTAGTAATCAAATTCAAACAAAATATTTGTCTTAATTAGACAAATCAAATGATATTATTTTTGTTCAAATCCAATTACTGAATATTAATAATTAGATTATTAGATATTGAAATATGTGTTTAAAATTTGTAATATAAATATAAAATATCTAATATAGAAGTTCTATTAACTTTAAAAGGAATAAATAATCAATATTTATATTATATTTTGTTTTCAGAAATTTTTAGGATGATATGCATGATCTATAAAAAATTAGAGACATTTAAATACTTATGATAGCTACTATAAATAAAAGTATTATCTTAACACACTTCAAATAAATTGATAAATTTTAATCTTTATTCTAACAAATTAACTAATGTTACAGTGATTCTGAATAGTGAGTTTCACTGAGAATCACTATAAGCATATGATGTTGGGAGAGGATAATTAAACTTAAATAAAGAGAATGAATTATAAATATTAGCAAAGGTTTCTAAGACCTGTGCCAATATCTACGGATATTGTGTGTTCAAAG